ACTAATGCCAAAAATGCAATCAGTAAAATTTTTATCTGTCTGTCTGTATGTTCGTTATAGAAACAAAAACTACTCGACGGATTTTAACGAAACTTGGTACAATTATTCTTCATACTCCTGGCCAGGTTATAGTATACTTTTCATCACGCTACGATCAATAGGAGCAGAGCAGTGAAGGGAAATGTTAGGAAAACGGAAGAAGTTACTCCATTTTTAAGCTTCCGTTGCGTGTGCAGCCTTAATGGCCACTTTTTAAAATGTAAAAATGTCCACCCGTGCGACGCCGGGACGGGCCGCTAGTCTTAAATAATGAACAATAGTGAAGGCCATACACAGAGTTGTATGATATAACCAACAATAAGTTTTATTCACAAACGATTCCTAAGATTCTTGATATCAGATCGCTATCTAGTTGTATGGTGCAAGTTACGAGAGATAGCGGGTGTTACAAAATATATATTTCGCTTCCAAAAAACAGCAACTTTAATAGTAATAAAACACCTTAAATGACGAGATGTTTCGCGCATATTATGTTGAATTTAGAACGTGGAATCGCGTTTACAAGTGCCTTTTGCTCAGCGAATAACATCTACCGCCGATAATACCGACGGATTTTAACGAAACTTGGTACAATTATTCTTCATACTCCTGGGCAGGTTATAGTATACTTTTCATCACGCTACGATCAATAGGAGCAGAGCAGTGAAAGGAAATGTTGGGAAAACGGGAGAAGTTACTACATTTTTAAGCTTCCGTCGCGTGTGCAGCCTTAATGGTCAATAACTATGTACAAAAAACTTCGCGATACTATACGTCCAACTATTATCGTTATGTCACAATAATCACTTTTGAAAATGTACAAATGTCCACCCGTGCGGAGCCGGGACGGGCTGCTAGTAATACATAAAAATATGGCAGAGGTAAGTAAATATACCTTATGAGTCATCATCCACATATCAGCTATTATCAGCCCACTGCTGGATATAAGCCTCTCCCATACACCATAAGGAACGGTCTTTAGCCATCTGCACCCACTTTATGTATAATCTATGGAAAATATTGAAAACTGGTAAATTTTTTTAAACACAGGAGGCAAACGTGCATGCGGCTCGCCTGATGGTAGGTGACTACCGCCACCCATGATCACCCACAACACCAACGGCATTGCAGGAGTGCTGCCGGTCTTTCAAAAAGGAATATGCTGTTTTCTTGAAGATTATGATGTCGTATCGATTCAGAAATACTGCTGTTGGAAATTGATTCCAAAGAGTGGTTGTGCCTTGAAAAACGCACGATGGAAGACCGCCATTCGGTGGTCGGCCAGATGGTTGGGACGAAATTTTAGTTTAAGGCAGGTTGTACGGTGCACTCAGAGCATTAAATTCGGTAGAAGACGCAGAGAGATGCAACATCTCTGCGCAGTTTCAGTGGGTCGAGTCAGACAGTAAGGCGCTGATTATCAATAATTCGAGTCGCCCGACTTTTAATAAAACTTTTATTAGAACATAACATTGTCGGGTAAAAATGACAACTCCAACAATGTCACTTTCCCATGTTTCAGTATAAACGATCTCAAGTCATTCTCTCATGACTTACACCACAATTTATCATACAAATAGGCAATTGCAAATTGTAGGCCCGCGCCAAATTGCAAAGGCCTTCTGTTATAACATTTATATTGATTAAAAAATGTTAGAAGCCGTGTGTTAGTGTCCGTGTTGGTGATGTATTAGCTATTCTCTATGGTACTGGCCTTGTGCACTTTGTACTTGCTTATTTATTTACTAGCAAATTTTTTTTAATGGGTGATAATGGAATGGTAACCCCGCCTGCGCTATCGGTTTACACTGACGGGGTACCAGTGACAGATGACAGATGAGGATGAAAACAGGTCAGTTAGCTCATCCTAATGAATTCAACTAGAATTAAACACGATGGTTTCCAGGGGGAACCACGTGGAGGACGACCTGATATTGCTAGTAATGGGGCTATTTGACTCCATTACTTTCCCCCCTTACTAGCTACTAGCTTTTAGTAGTGCTTAGTGTAGAAATCTCTGTTAAAGTATATTACCTTATCCAAGCATGGCCGTAGCTGGGGGGGGGGGGGGCAATTGATGGGCAATGCCCTTAAAAGCCCAATGCCCTACCTTAAAAAGAAAGGCTCCAAGAAAATTAGACAGATTCGCTTTTTCGAAGTCACTTAATAATAGCTTCTGTTCTACTAAAAAGTTCTTTTGCCCTACCTTAAACATGGGTCTAGCTACGGCCCTGTATCCAAGTATGATGAAAATAAAATGAAATGAAAAAATAAATAAAAAAATGGAATAATATTGGAATTTTACATGGGAATCTTTATTCTAAGGATTAATGAACTAAATCCTATTAATATTATAAATGCGAGAGTTTGTAACAATGGACACATGAATGAATGGATAGGTGTCTGTTTGACACTCACTCACTCTCATGTCATTAGGATGCTGAGTGGCGACCACGTTGACAATAACAAATGTAAAGTTTTTTTTTTCTATTAATAATTAATGTAACTCTTTTTGTTGTTGGCAATAAATGTTTTCTTTCTTTCTTTTTTTTTTACAACACAGCAAACGAGCATGCGGCTCACCTGATGGTAAGTGACTACCGCCGCCCATGGTCACCCACAACACCTACGGCATTGCAGGTGTGCTGCCGGCCACACAGCATTTTAAAAAAAAATATGCTCTTTTCTTGAAAAGGTTATGATGTCGTATCGGTTCGGAAATGGAGAGCTGCTGGAAGTTGATTCCAAAGAGTGGTTTCTTAATAATATAAATTTCTTCTTTTATTTTATTCACACCACACACACTACTATATACGGACTTGAATGAAATTTACACACATACGTATATAATATATATCCCATATATATACGTATAGGCTACGTTTATATACTGATAAAAGCATATACGCAGGATACAACTAGTAATAAACTAATATGACTGACCTTCATAACACAGGATTTTCCTAGCATGGAAGCCAGAGACACTTACTGTGAAGCCAGAGACATTTACCAGAGACATTTATGTAACGTAAAAAAACTATTTAGGTTAGAATTATTATAAATAGACGCTACTGCTCTTCCTTTGACCATTAAGTTCCTTTAGTCACCTCTTACGACACCCACGTGAAAGGAAGGAGTGGACCATTCTATGCGGGGACCACACAGCATTCTAACTTGTTAAAAAAAATTAAATTACAATTTTAGTGATTAGTTTAAAGAATGGATCCTCAGAATTGACACCAATGTGACAAACACAAAAAAATTAATGCTTTATGCTTAATATACAGCCTTCGCTATGACCATCACGCCTCGGTACTGCTATGACATAATTTTGTCAAACTAAATGTGACCACGTTTCCTGTGTTTTATGGTACATCTTAGAAAAACAATGAATATAATACGTATCCCAATTTGAATGTGTTTTTTTTAGCTAAATGATAAATAATTGTGGGGCAAACGTTTCCAGGTGGTCCCAAAAAATGTCTAAAATTGTTTCACAAAAAATATAGAGTGAGAAACAGTGTGATTAGAGAGAAGTGTGGACCGAAAGACGATCTCTTCTTATTTAGGAGTTTTCTCTCGTTTTGAATGAAATTTATTACAAGTGTAGGTTTTATCCTAATTTAACCATTAAAAGCATGATTTTTTAAATCAACAACTATAATAAAAGAGCAAATAGCAATCTATGATTCAAACAGAGTAACCAGTCGAAGAAATTTAAAGGGAAAGTGATTTTTCTAAGAAATAGGTGAGCAATTTGTGTTTAAAACATAGCTTACTTATGGTAGATCTTATGTCAAGCGGGAGTGTGTTCGTTGTCTTTTTAGAATTCAGTTAAAACTACTTTCGCATAGTGGACAATATTTTTATACATATACACGTAATATATATTCCGATTTAGTTACGCTGCACTGTTAAAAACAACGTGTTAATACACCGACCTCATTATGTTACATATCGGCGCCCACGCATTGTGTACAAAGATAATATTCATTAACATCACAATGAGCACTGTCTGGTTAGGGCGTGACCTTCCTAATCCGTGGTAAAATTAAACCAACTATTGGTGTTAGGTCATGATAACTCTGTGTGAACCGGTTCGTCTAACCGCCTGTTACAAATATGTGTACATATGTACCTATATAATTACGTCATAAATAAATTTAATCAGGTTACTAATTAATTTAAAACCCAGCTAGGTTAAGGAAGGGAGAGAAGATTGTTTAGTAATGGGGATATTATTCCCCATTGCTAACAATATACCTTGTCAGGTCGATCTCCATGCGGTACCCCCTGAAAACCTCCGTGATTAGTTATTGTCAAATTTATCACAATGGAAGAACTGACCTGACTTCTCTGCTCACCTATCATTCCTTACTAGTGCCTTGTAAGTGTATAGCGATAGCGCGGGCGGTGTGACTAATTAATTGTTATGTATTAAAAAAACCCGGATCGGCTTTGCAAGAGTAGATAATATTTTAAAAAATAATGTAAAGATTCATTGATAAATAAATGAGAAGAGGAAAGGCAATGATGATGAATATACTGATAATGCAGCTTTCTATAGATGAAAGAATTTTTTAAATCTGTTGTGTGGCTTTTGAGTTTATCCAATATGAACAAACAAACAGATCTTTCCTCTTTATAATGTTATGAAGTACAGACTAACTTATTGTTTGCTTCTCCGTACGCGTGGTAAGAAGTAGGCAAACCAACTAAATAAACTACTTCTAGATGACGTATCAAAATATACACAAAATTTTAAGTTAATACCTTCAAGAACATAACTATGGTAATCGCATCTAATTTGGTGCAGTAGTTTATGCGTAAAGACAGAGCAAAAAGAAACAAACGAATAAATGACAGAAAAAGAAATATTTTGGTCTCTTTTTGTCTTATTAAGAACTGTTATAATATTTTTTCTTAAACATCTCCCTTCACACCAGTTAGTTACAATTTTACTAAGACAAGTTGTTTCCCGCAAATTCGCACGCTTTAACTAAAAGTACATAAAGTATCCTATGTACTAAATTAGGGCATGACCTATCCTTGCACCAAATTTCAAATAGTAGTACTTTTTTAGTAGGTATTGCATGAAACAAACATCTATCCATCCTTATTGTTGTATCTTTATCTTGTTATTATCTATGCTATGCTTGAGCGAGGGCAACACTAGGAAGGCGGCCATGTTGTAAACAATTAAATCAGCTAATTCCAGACAAATTATCTTTTTGAAGACTAGGCAGCATGGTCTCCGACCTTAGCCTGTTCCAAACGGAACAAACGTACTAAAAAAAAAAAATTAAATCAGCTGTGAAAAGTACGACCCGGTCTTTTACTGATATTTGAGTAGTAATATAGTGAACCCGAATACATATTTAAAACTAACAAACTTCTGAATTTAAATCCATGCTTATATATTTTCGCAGTAAGTTTTGAGAAGGTTACATTCATCCTTAGACAATACATAATTAGATTTGATTAGATGTATTTAATTAAACAAGACGGAAGTTGTTTTTTGTGTAGTTTTGTTAGCTATTAAGACATTTATTTTAGTTTTTTTTTTTTTTGTTATTTCATTTAACGCTACAAATGTTAGTTTATTCAAATTGGCGATTAGAATGAAATATTAAACAAAAAGTTTAGGGTTCCGCAATAAAAAAGAGAACAAAGTTGCATTTGTAATGCTATATATATATATATATATATATATATATATATATATATATATATATATATATATTAGTAGAAGGAGACTGTACAAAAGTCGATTGCTTGGGTACCTCTGTCCCATTCGTGTTTCTACCATGGAGCAGTTGTGTTTGCATGGCTGTGTTTCGGTTTGAAGGGTGGGATATTGCGTAAATTTACAGGGTACAGAGGAATAACATCTGAGTCCTCAGGAATGGCAACGCATGGGGGTATCATGAGCGAAACAGTATAAAACAAATGACACAATACTAAAATCATTAAAAACTTTTATAACTTAATCCGCCATCTTGTGAGGGCAGCCATTTTAAAAATATTCCAATATTGCATATTATTATTACGTAATCACCAGAACAAATTGCAAAATTTTAACTCAATCCGATGTTAAGAACTTCTTCTAATTTAAAATATAAAATTTTACTAAAAAAACATAACAATACAATTACAAGTCAAATAGAAGCATGTAAAAAATTATACGACTCACCCTTATAAGAAATCCGCCCTGGTCCATGGTAACCTCGTTCACCGTAATCACCAATTGTCACTGGTCTCGAAGTGACCACATCACCACTCGGCCTCACAATATAGCTTGGCACATTCATCGGCCTATCCATTTCATACTCGTACACCGGTTTTATATCCGGTCGCGGATAACCGGTTCCATTTGGTCTGCTCCCGTAACCAGGTTTCTTGTGACCCGTATATTTGTAGTCACCATAACCTGATCCATCGTATGAATTTGAACCACCTTCATATGCAGGGTCGGGACGGTCATCACCGTAAGACGGACGATCACTGTAAGACGGGCGATCACCGTAAGGTGGTCGATTACCACTATAAGGCGGGTTATCACCGTAAGAAGGCCGGTTATCTCCATAAGGCGGACGTTTATTATCATTAGGTGGTTTACTATCTGCGTATGAAGGTCGATTATCACTATCACCATAAGAAGGACGCTTATTATCATTGTAAGAAGGTTTGTTACCGCCATATGACGGCTGGTCATTATTATCACTATATGATGGGCGTTTATTACCATTATAAGATGGTATATTCCCTCCGTATGATGGTGGATTATCATTACTACCGTAAGTAGGTTTGTTATCATTATAAGGAGGTTTATTACCAGTATACGATGGCTGATTATCGTTATCACCATACGCTGGACGTTTATTATCGTTGTAAGGTTTATTACTGCCATATGACGATTGATTATCACTGTATGGTGGTCGGGGATCATTATAACCTGGACGTTTATTATCGTTATAAGGTTTCTCACCATATGAAGGACTATTACCACTATATGACGGTTTGTCACTATATATCGGTTTATCATTAAACGGGGGTCGATTTTCATCATATGTCGGTCTATTATTACCATAAGGTGGACGTTTATTATCATCGTAAGGTTTATTGCCATATGAAGGCCTATTACCATATGGCTTTTCTTCTGTGTAAGACGGTTTGATACCATAACCTGATTGACTAGTTTCATACGAATGGTGACTATTGTATTCTTCCTGAGTGCTACTATAGGATTGACTATTACTTGTATAAGAGCCATGATTACTACTATAAGGTTTTTCATGATCTGGTTTATTATAACCATAAATTGGTTTCTGTGTAGTCGTCAATCCATACCCGGGCTTACTGCCATAATTGTCCTGGTTGCCATAAGAAGGTGAATTGCTACTACCATAAGATTCACTAGTGCTACCATACGCTTGACTAGTGCTGTGATCACTTTGACTATTATCACTATAAGAACTTTGACTTCCATATCCCTGGTTGCTACCATACGGTTTCTCAGGTTGACTTGGTTTTGATGGTACTCCATAGCCGCCAGATGGCATAACGTAATCAGGAGCTGGGCCATAACCAGGTTTATCGTAATGAGGTTTCTGTGGTCTGTAACCAGCATCTTGAGGTGGTCGAATATAATTATTATCATGGTCAATCTCAGTAATAGTACCTGTTCCATAGTGCGACTGACTGCTATGTGACTGTGAATATGAACTTTGGCTGTGACTGTTACCATATCCGTAACCCTGGACACCATATCCAATATCTTGTCCATAACCGCCTGGACCATAGTCGTGATCTGGTTTACTCAATGGTTTATAAGGTTTGTACGGTCTCGGTGGATCAAAAATTTCCAAATATATGGAGTTGTCATGGCTATTTTGGCCATAGCTACTGGCATACTGACTATTGTATGAATAACTAGGTCTGTCATACGGTCTGTAGGGATAGTCATAATGTGGTCGATTTGGTCTAGGAGGTCTATCTGGGGGACCTATTGGACCTGACGGGTGACCAATATCGTTTTGTCCATACAGGTCAGGTTTTGTCGGATAATCCTGTGGTTTTGGTCTAAAACCATATCCGTTATCGTCCTGAGGTCTTGGCTTTCTGTTTGGACGAATTATGTAGTGGTATTCAGGTTTTTCTGGATGATAAGGAGGAAGCCCTACAGGAAAATCGTAGGGCCTATTAGGTCTTACAGGCCTTTGACCGTATAAATCTGGTATATCGTCTCCAGGATGCGATGGATAGTGAGGATCTGGCCTCCAGTAACCATGATCTGGAGGACGGCCTGGTCTGTATGGGTCTTGAAACTGCAAAACATCATATGGATCTGGCTTTTGATGAGGCTGATTATGGTAAGGTTTATCAGGTTTATATGGTATATCTTGAGGCTTGTGATCACCGTAACTTGGAGGTACATCATTGTCTGGTTTAGAACTACTATAGTCATCTGGTCTATCGTTACTAATTTGAGGATAACCTGGTTTAGCGTTTAAATATGGCGGCCGGGCTGTTTCGTAAGGTCTTAAATCACCAGGAAACTCATCAGAAAGGGGTCTTTTGAAATCGTCTTCGTCTGGACGAAATACTGGCCGGTGAGCTGGCACTCCCCCAGGGCCAGCGTCAGGGTCATCAAATTGACCTTGAATAGGAGTGGGGGGTGATTGTTCGCATTGGATTCTCCTTACGTAGACGTCGTAGTCTGGATGCCGTTGAAGTAGATTTTGCTCTTTTAGTTCCTTTTCGCTTCTATCACTTAAGTTGCAAGTCGCGTTGCCTTTAGCACCAACTCTGGAAGAAATTAAATATTTAATTAATTTTTTTTTTGTTATATATATATAAGGACTGTGGTAACCAAGTATATGGTATTTTTATTGTCATTATATAAGTAAACATAGGCCTCCCCCATAAGGGCGGTTTGCCAGTAGTAACTACACTTGATAGGCGGGTTAACAACCATAGTTATGCTTTGGTAATATTTTACGAATGACCTATCCCTCGACCATTAAGTATACGATTAGTACTAATAAATACCTATCGCTTATAAAAGCTTGTGGCCACTTTTGTGACATGAAAATCAAAATCGATTATTAAAAGACTCATAACATTTTTTTTTTATATATATATTCTATGTAATTGTATCTTTATTGGAGGAGAACTATTTTAGAATTTCATGTATTCCTTTACAATCAATAGTTTTACTAACCATGTTTCATCGATCAAACTATATTGTAGAATACAAACAAAATATACAAGGGCGGTGTTTCCTAATTTTAGAAAAGTACTAGACGACAAAATCAAATTAATTTAATCTTGGCTGTAGAGACTATCTTTAGTTAAATTTATACTGAAACTTAAATTACCACTCTGTGACCAGTAACTACCTATAGATATTTACTTTTACAAATTCACCTAACGTATATTTACTAGAAGGAAACTTTTAAAACTTAAACTCGCCTAAAGAGTAAATAAATAAACTATTAATCAAAATAAAAACAAAAAACTACTTCACAATTAAAACTACACGTAGTGACATCTATTGTCTATTGAGATAAATGTTATCGATCGGAAAAACGCCATCTATACATTTATGTAATGTAACTCACCCGTAATCGTATGTCTGACATTGTTTATCCTGTTTACAGATTTGCTCGCACTCGCGCGTTGTAAGTTCTGAGACATTACGGTAGATGCCGCTAGGTGGTAGTTGTTCGCCAATGGATATTCTTTCAAAGCAATCTGTAAAAAAAATTACTTAGAGTAAAACCTTATAATATTTGATATTATTAATTTAGAGAGAACAAAAATCTAAATTTGTTTACTTTTTCTAAATATACATATAATCTATATTTACAATCATATTTTTTTTAATGGGTGAAAATGGAATGATAACCACGCCTGCGCGGGGGAAAAGGGATTGTTAGCAATGGAGTTTGACAACCCCATTGCTAGCAATATGCCTTATTAGGTCGACCTCCACGGGTTCCCCCTGGAAACCATCGTGAACAATTCTTGTTGAATTCGTCACGAGCACCAGTGATACCGATAGGCGGGTGGGGTTACCATTACATTATCATCCATTAAAAAAAAAACCCGCCTGCGCTAATGGGATACGCTGGCGGGGCACCAGTGAAGGGTGATAGATGAGAATAAAAACAGGCCAGCTAGCCCATCATGATGAATTCATCAGAAATCAACCATGATAGTTTCCAGGGAGAACCGCGTGGAGGTCGACTTGGTTGGGTATATTGCTAGCAATGGAATTCTCAGTCTCCATTACTAACAATCCCTTTCCCCCCAAAACTATACTGTGTATAACGCCTCAGTACCCTGTAATTTCACTGTCATATTCCGCCCTTCCAACCGAAACACAGCCATGCAAACACAACTAATGCACGGTAAGCATTTGTAATACGTGTCAAATACATGGTAGTGTGTGTAATGTTATTTTTTTTTTTATTTAATGTATTTTTTCATCAATAATTAAAAAAAAATTATCATTCTGCACTCGTTCTCTATATAAACTATTAAACTATAAGTGTGCCAAATTTCATACTCCTCCGTCCGCGCAATTTTCGTAAAAAGGGGAACAAAGTTTTTGCTTCACGTATTAATATATAGATGTTTACATCTTTCGATATATCAACAATTACTAGTACTGCATTCGAGTATTCTGACACTTCCCTATGGTTGACTGGGAGAGAATGATTTTAGCATTAAGTCCGCCATATACACATATTTGTACTAATGAATAAATAAATAAATAAATCGTCCACATTTTGGATGTCATTTTGAAATCGTCAAATTACGTCCCTTGTTACTGTTCTACGGAAGTTATCAATGCTACAAATATAACTAATTTCTTCCGACGGAAAACCAGATGTTTTGTGGACACATATTATACCTGAACTAGTTTTTACACGCAAATTCGTCTGTGCGACCGTGATATATTTATTGACCGGGATAGAAATTCGCCTATATCTTCTCCATTCCATATAGCACGTGTTTACCAAATTTCATTGTGATTGATTGAAGACTAAGAGGTAAGAAACAAAGAAATCTATTTATTTATTTATCTAACACATTTATAATATTATCTATTTATTTATAAAAATTGCTTTGTACACCATCATAGAATGAATCACCCCTTCCTTTCCCGTGAGTGTCGTAAGAGGCGACTAAAGGAACTTAATGGTTCAAGGCTGAGCAGCAACATCTCTTAAATCATTACCAAAAGCTTAACTGCGGTAGCCAATCCACCTCAAGTCAAGCGTGGTAACTACCCTTTTTTATGAACCCCATAGTGTAGACTCTAGGGTAAATATCAGTTATTCCCGCATCATGCAAGAATACTGAACCGAATTGGATACGGTTTTCATAGTTGTGTTTCCTTAAAATCTGGTGTATATTTTTATCTTAACACGCTATCTAGAACTGATCTACCTTACATTATATACAAGAGTGTCTGTATAGAAATGCTTCGAGAAAAACCTGTCAACTTTTTCATACAATTTTGCGTGATAAACAGTTATGAGTGATTCCTTTATAACTTCTATATTTATTTTGTCTTATAAATTATACATTTTTTTTATGAATGAATGAATGAATGAGTATACTTTATTTGCATTATACAATATAGGAAATAAGCGAGACAATTTACAAACACAACGATACAATTGTATAAGTTTTAATGCGTAAACACTCATTTTATTTATTAAATAATACGTCAAGATACATTTTATGCGTAAGTTTATAGAATATTAATAAAAGAAAAGCCAAGTCAGCTAATTTGACAAAAAGTTGACCCGTTTTTGAGGCTCGATGCTCTATCTACATAATCTAAGTAATTATTGGTTTCACTTCTGAAATGCACGGAGTAGCGGGCGAAAAGCTAGCGAAAACAAAAATCAAATTGCCCTGAATCCTTACTGCAAAAATTGACTATTTTATTTCTTTTGGTACCAATTTTGTAATTTCGCCCCATTATCGAGCGATTTGGATGCAATTTCGCGTTTCACAATATCCTATAGGTACATACGTATGTAAAGTGACATGTAGTTAGAAAACAATGGATCCTTAGACAAGAAATGACTTTGCATTAGTATATATATATATATATATATATATATATATATATATATATATATATATATATATATATATATATATATATATATATAATTGTAAACAAACGAATGATTATTCTTTTATTTACAAAACTTATGTTTATTTACTTCTTCCTTTCCCGTGGGTGTCGTAAGAGGTGACTAAGAGAATTTAACAGTCGAGAGATGGGCAGCAGCGTCCCTCTTAATCCTTCTTTGCATACTGATGGAAATTTCCATCATAACATTGAATGCCTAAAACTTAAAGACTTAAGATAAATAAACCTAAAGGTTGACTGTAAGAGATCCCTTTATGGGATAAGTCCGCCATTGTATATTAAATCATTTACCAATGTTTAATCTGAGTTATGTACAATAAAGATTTTACAATACAATACTTATATAAAAGACTAAGTTCACTTTAAGTCGATCGTATCTGGATTATTTTTTAATGTCCATTGCAAAAAGAAAAACACATAGCTGTCATACATAGTTTATTGTTATAACCATTTTTCCTTTAATTTTAAACACGAATTATATCACCTACAATCGATTTCATTTTGATATTTGACTCTACATGTTACCAAATGTTTTTTTTTTTTTAATAAATATATAAAAATATCGTTTTGATTTTTTTTACTATTTTTCCCCATTAGTAAACACAGTAAAGGGTACACTTATATATATTTTTTAATTTGATTTAAAAATCAGGCTTTTAAGGGTTAATGCCCCTTAGTTGTCTCTTACGACACACACGGGACAAGAAAGGGTAGCTCATTCTATGCCGGAACCACATGGCAGCAGACTTAAGTATTTAAAATTAATTTAAACGTGATAACTTCAGAGATTCTTGATTTAGAGGTTCTTGAGAGATGGACAAACAAACGAAAATAATTCTATAAGGGTGGGGGGAAAGGGATTGTTAGTAATGGAGTATAATTCCCGCATTACTAGCAATACAACCTATCAGGTCGACCTCCACGCGGTTCCCCCTGGAAATTATTATGATTAATTCTAGCGGAATTAGTCATGATGGACTAAATGACCTGCTTTCATCGTCACCTATCATCCCTCACTAGTGCCTCGCCAGCGTATACCGATAGCGCAGGCATGGAATGGTAACCCCGCATTCCATTATCACCCATTAAAAAAAATCCTATAAGGGTTTCAATTCTCCTTTTAAGGTACGAAATCATAAAATTAAATATATACTTGCATATTAAAATTAAAAAAAATATTACGGATGTCTAAAAAATGTACGCTTACCTTCAATAGATGTGCCCAGCTGTGAGTCAATCGTTAGTGTCTGGACAGCCACGAGCAAAACCGGGCACAAAATTAGTATACACAACATGTTTAATGTAAAACCAACTAACATGCTCACTCTTTTATATATTTATATGTCGCCATTATTAAATAATTATTGAAAATCAAATAGGGTCTTATAATTAATGGGATCTATCTAAAACGATAAAGATATTTACAAAAAAAAATAGCAGAATCAGCAGTTTCCGTGACCTAATGATACATCATGTACTTTTATAAAGGATGTAGCTGTACATAAAAAAATATAGCCACGAAACCAGTTCGAAATTCGAATTTCAAACGCGCGCCATTTTCCCACGCCGAATCCGCGGCAAAGACAATGGACTTTTTTTTCTATTTCAAAGGAATCGCGAAGACGTCTACACGGTTTTGGATTTGCAAATATTATGGCGTAAAGTCTAAATCTTTTCTGGGTGTGTCTGCGTTTCGGTCCGGCGATCAGAGCACACTTCCTTGGCGTCTCATGTGAACCTTACAGTTTGTTAATCAAACCAACAGGTACTTTAAACATAGATCACATATCTCTAGATAGAGTATCTAAATATAAACGCTTTGCCGAAAAAAGACCAATTCTTTTAAATAATTTTGCGTTAACAGTGATAACAGAATAAACCTATCATCATTATCATATCAGCCGTTATGTATCCACTGCTGAACTTAGGTCTTCTGCACAAACAGTAGTTGCCACGCTTGGCAGGGGAATTGACAACCGCAGTGTAGCTTTTGGTGATGTTTTAAAAGAGACGCTGCTGCCTATCCCTCAAATACAAAATCCTTGCAACACCCAGGACAAAAGAAAAGTAACACATTCTGTGCCACCAATATACCTACAGTTAAATAGAAAAGTGTAAAACAAAACTAAAAGTTAAAATATAATTCTATATTTGAAAGAGACTTCGTACAAAAGTCGATTACCCGGGTACCTCTGTCCCATTCGTGTTTCAACCGTGAACGGTTACCACTTTCCATCAGGTGGGCCGTCAGCTTGTTTGCCATTCTAAGTTGTATAAAAAAAACGAGATGTAGATAAAGGACAGGAACTCATAATAATGATTTTCACTGATTACTTAGATTGATATTTGAGAATATGCTCGTAATATATACGTTATCGGTTTCAGGGTCATTGTAAGTGAACCTATATGTATTAATTTGTTAAAAATATGTATAATAATTGAATGTAAATCGATATTGTTGAACAAAATAATAATAATAAGAAAATACGTAGCTATCGTGATACAATTTCAATGACTGGATAATATTGTAACAGATCCATAGACTATTTCTAAAGTGAAAAAAGTATTGTCCTCCTCTCTCCTACTTGTTGTGCCCAACAGGGTCCATAAATTTAAATGTTATCTACAAATTATATTATGGAATGCAATAAGAAATAAATAAATAAATAAAAAATAATTGAGGATTGTGTTCCCCGAAATAAAACCACTCTAATTGTGGCTTAACCAGTTATTTTGATTTAAAAATTAAACTACTAAATCGATTTTGATAAAATCTGTATGAGATCAATCTGTAAATATATCCTTTCAGATAAAAAAATAGTTTCAAATTCGTTTATAATTGACGACGTTTTCATATTTTTCGTTATTCATATACGCAAAAGAGAGACAAAAAAATTTGAAATCGGTTGAAAATAGAGCGCGTTATTTCGTTGTCTAAAAAAAAACTCTGCCATTCCAAATTCAAGTTTAATCTAATTTAATACGGAGATTTGTTAATGATATTACTTGAGCATTTTATTTCGTATTATAAATATGTGTGGTAGGCAAAAGTAAATTTCGATCGAGTGAATTTAAGCGCGTTTTTGTCACTCTTAGCTCCATCTTGAGCATTTAATCTAGACCATTCTAAACTTTAACCAATTAGAGCGGTATCAGCTTATTTAATACTATGATTTTCTATTATTTGTCGTAATTAGATGTTACATATTGAATATGAACGGAAATTCTGCTTAATATTCTGCTTATAGGTCATTGGCCGCTGTTTTCTTGATAATAAACATTTAAATCTTTCGAATATTTTCTGTCAACTTTTTTCACTCTAATCGCAAAAGAATTAAAGTCCCCGACATAGCCCGAAGGATAAGCAAACTAAAGTGGTAATGGGCTGTCAGTGTCAGTGGATGTAGGTAGATCAGGACAGTTCTTTATGGCAGTCTATGGGCAGGCTTATGTCCAGCAGTGGACGGGTAATGGCTGGATGATTGGTTTGATAATAATAGTTTTCAAATTAAACAAATGATAAATGACTGCGTTATGTTCACATGAGACAAGCGTCAAGACAAATTTTGATGTAAATGTAAATGTTTCCTTTTTTTTCTATAATCTATTATAATATAATTAAGACATTGTTTTTTTTTTTACAACACAGGGAGCAAACGAGCATGCGGCTCACCTGATGGTAAGTGACTACCGCCGCCCATGATCACCCACAACACCAGCGGCTTTGCAGGTGTGCTGCCAGCCTTTTAAAAAGGAATATACTCTTTTCTTCAAGGTTATGTTGTCGTATCGGTTCGGAAATACTGCTGCTGGAAATTGATTCCAAAGAATGGTTGTGCGTGGAAGAAAGTGCCTTGAAAAACGCTCGGTGGAAGACCGCCACTCGTCCAAATGATTGGGATGAAACTTTAGTTTGTGGCGGGTTGTACGGTGGTGAAAATCAGCAGCAGGTATCAATCCGAATAATTCCTCAAAACACTCCCCATGATAAATTCGGTAGATTGTGATATATGAGACAATAATAATGGAATTTTACTAGTATTTATATAAAAAGTAGATTTGCACGCCATTTATGGTAAAATATGGAGGCGTAATAATATAATAATGTACCATCTGTAATAGCCATATTTGAGAAAATAAATTATTATTATTATACCAGCGCTAGAAGGACTCGAAACTTAAAACATAACCCTATTTATTACCCGACTGCGGGACGTGAAGGAAGGTAAAGATTTTAACAGTTTATGTATGCATTTGTGGCGCTCTAAAGACGAAACGCATGAGCTAATTTTAATGATTCTTACATCAATTAATTTGACGTAATCTTGTAAATGTCGCTAAAGATTAGAGGGACTGTACAAAAGTTGATTGCTTGGGTACCTCTGTCCCATTCGTGTTTCTACCGTGAAACAGTTGTGTTTGCATGGCTGTGTTTCGGTTTTATGGCGTGAATTTACAGGGTACAGAGGAATAACACCTGATTCCTCAGGATTGGCAACGCATGGGGGGTATCATGGGCGAAACAGTATACTCTGTTATGTCCATGGTACTGCTCATGTGTATAGGCGACGGTTACCACTTTCCATCAGGTGAGCCGTCAGCTTGTTTGCCATTCTAAGTTGTATAAAAAAAATTGGTGTCATAAAAAATGTATGAGAATAAATCAAAATGCCTGGTTTTACCACAACTGAAGTAGTTTTTTTTTTTTTTTCTGTGAAACGCAATCCTAAATTATTTTCGAAGTAAGGTAAAAATTATATACCCTTCACAACATGTAAGTAGCTATATAATAGCTAAATAATATATAAGTCCGCTCGACGTATGTACCTTTTATAAGCCAGTTTTTTTTTTATTTCCGCTACGATTGCTTTTGTGGTTAGCAATTATGAGGCCAACGATATTTGTTGATTAACACGAAAACTGTGAAGTTGTGTTAAAAAACAAGAGGTACTCAATTCGGTTGTGTTATATTTTTAATTTTTAATATTTGTTACCTCATAACTAGGTCAGTTCTAAACCGATTTGGAAAATTCTTTTTTAACTGAAAGGATATACTTACTGATTGATTTCCATAGAAATTTTATCAAAATCGGTTTAATAGTTTAATTATTAAAATAAAATAACTGGTTTGGTCACTGATTTGGTTAAAGTAGTTTTTTTTTTTATAGGACAGAGTCTTCAATTTAATTCATTATTTGTATTATAAGTTCTTAATGGAACTTCAGTACATTGGTTATTTGATGGTAAAAATTATTTTATTTATTTTCGCCAGTTTGTATATGAAATGAATAAATGTAATAATTTAAAAATTGCTTTTAAATTTATAATAATTTCCTTTTTCCATTTCTCCTTACTTTCAAGGTACTACCCGAGACGAGTGGCAGTTTCTCCGCCGTGCATACTACAAGACACTTTCTTCCACGCACAATCACGATTTGAAATCGACTTCCATATTTCCGAACCGATACAATATATATTCCTTTTTAAAACGCCGGCAGCACAACTGCAATGCCTCTGGTGTTGCAGGTGACCATAGACGGCGGTAGTCACCATCAGGTGAGTCGCACGCTCGTTTGCGCCCTGTGTTATATAAAAAAAAAATAACACAATTGTTCAAGTCGATAGTTTATGCGTTCGAACTTGCAAATTCGTTCTTTTAGTTTGGACTTATCGCCATTTTGGTGTAAAGTTTGAAGACCCCAATTTCTGAAGGTGTAATTTTTTATTGAAAACTGATTGCTATCAGATGATCATAGTTTTGCATCGTTGAATATTATTTAGATGAATCACTATACAATTTGGAGCTTCAATATAATAGCATATCGTTTAAATTGGCTTGCGATGGGGAGTCCACTGCTGAACATAGGCCTCGCCTTGGAGGATTTTGCCAGTAGTTCCCACGCTTGGCAGGCGGATTGGTAACCGCAGTAAGACTGTTGATGGTTTAAGAGGGACGCTGCAGCCCTTTCATCGGCTATTAGGGTCCCTTAGTCGTTTTTATTTTTTATTGCACCAAAAACATAAAATGTATAATGACAATTTGAAAATGTATTAATATTAAAATAAAAAAATATAATCCATCGTGGCATGATGTTATAGGTACGTATTTATTTTATACTAGTGGTCGCCCCGTGGTCAATATTCGACCATAACATATATTGTAATAAATGAATTTATTATGGTTATGCTTGACATTCAGTAAGACTATAGACAAATAATATTAAAGACATTTTTTTTTTTTATTGATTTAACATATTTTTTATGTATAATTTAAAAAGAAATATTATCATTCTGCACTCCTTCTCTATATAAACTATAAGTGTGCCAAATTTCATACTTCTCCGTCCGCGCAATTTTCGTAAACAGAGATAACGAAGTTTTTACTTCACGTATTAATATAATGATATTGTAACATTCTTATAGCAATTAGCCAGAGGGAGACTGTACAAAAGTCGATTGCTTGGGTATCTCTGTCCCATTCGTGTTTCAACCGTGAAGCAGTTGTGTTTGCATGGCTGTGTTTCGATTTGAAGGGTGGGATATGGCGTGAATTTACTGGGTACAGAGGAATAACACCTGAGTCCTCAGGAATGGCAACGCATGGGAGGTATCATGGGCGAAAGAGTATACTCTGCT